GATTGATGCATCAATGTACAGTGTTGTATATGGACAAACGATGATTGTACCACTGAGTATACGACTCAAATACACCACAATGGTACCATGCGATATATTGTTATCGACTCGACTTGTTTCAGATACGCCTATCATTCGAGGCAATCCCGAGTTTATATCACGCAAGTTCCAATGTCTTCCGAGTGAATTCTGTGTCGAATAGTATGGCAAGTGTGACCATCAACTCATACATCAACAATCTGAATCCGATATGGCATTGAGACATGTACAAATGCATTGCCAAAATATTCAAATGTTTTGTCCCGATGTTTGAAAGTCTGTTCAGAACGATGGATCCAGTGTTTAGGTATATTGATATTCGCAATGGCACAAATGGATATGAACCACCAAACCAATCAGATCGTGGTGGTATGCAGCCAGACACTCGAGTCATTCGTCCCGTGTATGTACCAACACTTCCGGAACATTTCCAATCCAAACATGAATTAGGAAAGCCAGTGTCACTGCGTGGTTGTAATCTGCAAGTCATTGTCAAACTCACCAACATTCAACTGACACCATCCAAACCTAAATACGACGAGGGAAACTGGCACAATGAAGGTCCAATTAACGAATCGATTGTTGCAACTGGACTGTATTACTATGACGTGGAAAATATCACCACACCCAAACTCGATTACCGCGAGGCTGTTGATTGTTTTGATTATCAAGGAGCATCTGATATGTATTGGAAAGATGTGTGTGACATTGATCAAGAATCACCACGCAATCAGTATATAGGATCGCTTGAATTACCAAATGGTCGATGTGTAGTTTATCCCAATCGATATCAACACAAAGAACAATCATTTGAACTTGCAGATCCAGCTCAACCAGGACACTGCAAGATTCTGACATTTTTTGTAGTGGATCCATCTCGTCGGATTGTTTCGACTGCGCATGTGGCTCCACAACAACCACAATGGTACAACTCGAGTCTTGACAAGACACCCATACCGCCTGAACTGTGGAATGATGCCACGCAGTATATTCAAGGTGTTCAATCACCAACTGAAGCCAAACACTATTGAGATGAATTGACAAACGACCGAACTCGAATCACAGCAGCATACAACGAAGAAATATATGAGCAGGCGTATGGTGATTGGTGATTGATTGTGAGATTGTGATTTTACAACAATGAATTGCAATGCCAGTCGGATTTATACAATTGAATAAATTGAATGAATTGAATCAATCATGACAGTGATTGTTGATTATATTGACTGATTGTGTACAATTGATTGATACAAGTGATATGGATGCATCATTCGGTGTTGTGAAATCAGATCATTGCTTGATTCTGTCAATGTGATCAAATGGATTACTACAAAACTGTGCATGCTCAAGTTGAATCAAGTATTGAATCGAGTATTGGATTGATATTTACACACAACCACAATTATAACCACAATTGCAATCAGCACAGTCTGAATATTAGACATTTGAACATCACGTATCGAGTCGTGGATAAATGCGAGTTGGCATATTGGACTGTTTTTGTAGTTTATTAATGATTTGATTCACGACTGTTTGAATTCAAGGCTCAATATGGATTACAACTGGATTGTCGTTGTTTCCATTTGTGATGACAAATCTGTCAATGTGTTGATTGATTCCTAGTCCATTGACCAATTCATTGATCAGTAATTGTCCAAATAAGTTGTATCCGAGTCGAATTGTCAATCAGGATACCATAACCTGACATCCAAACGATTATTCAAACGATTGTTCAAACCATCAATGATTGTCAGAATAAGCTTTACGACTCGATTGCAATAACCACCACAATCATGGTCAGGTTAGTATGTTGATCCGTTTACAAAGTTCCAATACTGCAACAGATTCAACATACTCTTGAAAGTGCTGCACACCACATGAATCCAGCAAACCCACTGATGAATTGAACCAATCAATTGACCAATGACATGACTCGATATTGGACATCGAGTTGCACACAGTTGGTAAAAAGTCACCGACATGTTCAAATAGTCAAACCTTGACTACAGGTTGATATCATCACCCAACACACCAAATACAACACACAATCTGGACGACTACCGGATCATATTGTGGATATCAATCGACGGAGTTACTGGTTCCAAACAACCATGTACAATCATGTACAGTCATTACAGGACAATATAATACATTTCTGAATAGCATGTTGTAATCAACACGAGTGGAGTTGTGCAATAGACTTGTCATGGCTTACAATGGTTTGATATGAACATGATGACTCGGACTCTATTCAGTCGGATCAACTCGACTACAATTGGTCGTGTATATTATGATTGACACGAACAATTGTAGTTGAACTCGAATACAGATTGACTGTTGAATCACAATGCGTGGTATTAGCAACATGATGTGCTATATAGTGGAATGTATACGCTAACCTGACATGTGTCATGTAGTGTGTATTCGATCAATATGGGTATTATCAATCAACAAGTCATACGATGTTTGTGTTCGAGTGATGGAATGGAATGGAATGGAATGGAATGAGTGTATCAATCCAGAATACGAGTCAACCATGACATATGATCATAATGTGTGGTTGATACAACTATATAGTGACAATCGATATTGATATAATATCACAACATGCAGTGCCAACACAACAGTTGCAAGTCACTGATCATCAATGTGACATTGTGGTTGCAACATGAACTGCATTGTATTGATTCAGTTGATTGATTGAATTACTGGACAATGTGTAGTGATGATTGATCGTGTCGAGTTGAATGTAAAATATCATTAAACCACGACACATATTGATGATCATCCAACAACTGAATATCAACTCAATTGTTAGATGGTCTTGGTTTGTACTCGTTTCCTATATTGTGGCTCTAGCCCTTTTC